CACAGCTGTTCATAGCACTGTCTAACCATTAGATGCTTTTGATGGAAAGATGACATGTCTCTTCGCTCCTAATCTTGGTAGATCAAGATTTCTGTGTAGACAGAAAACACCAAGAGGAAACAGAGAAATAAGTAGGAGGCATGAAATAATGCAGAAATACGGTACAACGAATAAAATTTAGAAAATGTTTGGATACATTTGCGTCACTGAAATAGATTCCGAACCGTACCACCCAAGTCTCCAATTACGATTTGGTTGTTACATAGACCCCAATTAGCAAACCTATAGTGGAACAAAAGAAATGTCAAGTAAACCAAAATATTAAGTTAGGTGTAATTAGCTGAAATAGATTTAATGTCACACAAATATGAATATAGTAATGTCAGTGTTATGGATAATAATTGGTTACTTGAGTTTTATCTCTTCGGTCCACCACAATGCTCTATACTCCAATGTTAGTCCAGAAGGCAATACTTGTTAGGGCTCCAGAGTCGACGTTATTGGCTTGATTGTCATGGTATTTGGAAGTAGGATGAGAGGTCCTGTAAAATCCAAGGATAACCAATGAGTATTCACGTCAGATAGTAGTTGAGGGAGGCAGAAATCGGAGTGGATAGATGCATATTATATTTCCTGATTTGAAGGCAAACTCAAAGTAAAACCACCACCAACCAGAATTCCAATTTTTAAGTATCAAAGATAAACAGCATTCGTTTTTATAAGTATCAGAGGAAATGTACAAAATGTATAAAAAATGATAAAAAGGAAAGATTATTTTTAATTTAAGTGGTTTATACATAATTTCGTGCAGTCTCCACAAGCCTAAATTTCTCTACACAGCTTAACCCAACCGTCTTAGACTTTATGGACTTACGTGATATTCTCGTCTGGCCACCTCTTACCTTTGGGACGCCAAAAACTACTTCAGCTGACGTTGTATGATGGGGTAGACAGGAACGTATAAAGCATATCTCAGCCATCTGACCATATGAGTTCTCATAGTTTTTTGACTTATTTTTACCGAAACATATTTGCATGAATTTTGCGTTACTGTTGTGGTGGCACCAAGATACACGAAGGCAGTGGTGTCCGAACACCTGAATTCTTCCGAGTTCTTTTTCTTGAATGACTATTTTTGACAGCTATATACTAGAATACAGCAAATTGCAGCACATTACACAGCCCTCAATATACAATCGGCTATCACGGTGGTGTCAGAAGTGGCTGGAGGTGAAACCAGACTGGAAAACCTGAAGTCTTCTCGGTCTTTGACACACTAAGGTTGATTCGGCTTCCCAACAAGTGAAGTAGTCAACTCACTCAACCACTTCAGTCCTCACTGTTAGATGGAGCGCCAGCGCAGACCTGTCTTGGAGAAACAGTTTGGATTTGGGTATTGAAGAGCGCATCCTGAAGATTCTTGAATTACCATGTCAATTTTTCAAAAGACTTTGCATACTTTCACCGTCTTCACCTAACAAAACTGTGTCATCTGCATACTCTAGGTATAATAAGGAGTTTACTGTGACAAGGCCAATTTGTGCAAAGTCAGGAAAGGAGAGGGAAACCTCAGTAGTCAAATATTTGACAAAAAAATAAGAATGGAGAAAGTTAAAACCTTTGACGGACGCCACTCAGCGTACGTGACTCACAACAGGCTCTCGAATGCAGAACTTTCAACAGAATGAAGTACTTACCTGGCACTCTTTTTGGGTGGGAGATACTGTCGTATAAACCCTTGGTCGATGGAGTTGAAAGCTGGCTTCAGGTCCAGGTATGTAACTATTGTCTGGAACCGCGAAGTATGTCTGTGTTTTAGGGCCTGGTTGAGAGTGGAGATGCGCTCGTGATCGCGTCTCAAACCAACCTAGTTTCCCCGAGTTTACCATTTCTGAGCTTCATTTAAGCGTATAAACTTTAAAAAACTTAAAATTTCAAACAATAAGTTCTCTCGACTAATTCCTCCGTTGTTATCCGCTCATCCTTCAATTTATCTCTTCTGTGAGTGGATAGCAGACTCATCCTTCTCCGCTACAGTTTACTAATGAGTGACATTTTCGCCCTAGTTTTCTTAAAATATCTAAATAACTCTACCTTCACTTATCACCACTGGTTTTCTCCATCTCTAAAGCCTTCACTATTCACTACCGCTCACAGTCATTGAGTAGACTTCTTGTCAGTTTACATTTGAATTACTTCCGCTCATGGTGCTTGAAGCCTGCAGGAATGCGTTCCGTCGCATCCATTAATTCAGAACAAGCTGGTTATATCACCATGACAGAGAAGTGGGTAGCAACATATAACGGTGTGGATTATATCAGCCTTTTTCACTTAAGAACTGGCAAAAACAACAGCTCCAGATGATCTCAGTGATGTCACGTATGTAATGGATAAGTCATCGTGTTCTGATCCTGAGTTTTTGACATGAAAATATTGAATCAAAAGGATCGTTTGGTAAGCTTTAACTGATTTCTATCACGAGAGCTTATCAAATATGACAAACAGGGAGCTCAGGCAATTATTATTTAGCTGTCTTTATCACGAACTGTATGCTGACCAAAAAAGTTTTGATTCGTCGTCGTGGTGACAGAAATTATTATCTGTTTATTTTTAAGTTTGTTTTAGAGAAAAACAAACTGTGATGTTGATTATACTACAGTACAACAAACTACTGTGTTAGGACAAACTGTCATCATATAGAGCAAGTACGCGTTCCTGCGACAGAGCTTTTTGTTAATTTTTGTGCTTATGTTTTTCATGTTGATATAGCAGTTGGAACTTCCTAACAAGATTTCCAACTTACACGTCACGAAGGGAATAGAGAATCGTAGTATAGAGGTCGATTTAGAATGCTGGAATACATTTTTTCAGGGTGAAACAAAGTTAATTGTGCGACAATCGATCTAAATTAATTTACTTAGATTGTGTAGTACCTGAATTTTTGCAGCTTTGTTCAATACAATGCACATTATGCTTGATAAAATACCTACTAAATAATATCCAGTGCGTTTTTGTAATATATAGTGAATTAAAACATAAGAATGCTGGAAGGAACACTTCTAGAAAGTATATATTCACCAAAAATCTGTAACTGGTGTAAAAGTTAGTGCCCGTTTTGTATTCTGTTCCAAGGAATTTTTATCACTACTATACAGAAGGCTGCTGAATAGTACTGTTTTGAAATGAACGCTGTTATATGTCATCAATAAAAGATATCAAGCAGGTTAGCTTGAATGTAAATTGACTTGGAAAGTGAACATGTGACCAGGTTGTTTGTAATGTATTGCACAAATACTTATTTTTCGGCGAAATGTCTTCCAACTACTACACTACTTCAGTCGTAAGAGTTGACGAGGCTTTGTCTTTGTCAATAAAAATGTAAGGAGGCATACGTAGAGATGCGACTTAAGAGCCTGTTCCCTCTCAACTGATTTTAGCAAGCTACTGACTCTAAACAAGTCATTCATTCTGACACTTACAGGTAGTTTTAAAAGTAAATGGTATCAGTGTGAATCGGCATGACCCACTGCTCATGAACAGAAAGGTCAACAGAGAATCTGGTACAAAAGTTTATCAGTTCAAGCTGCCACACTTCGTAGCAATAGGCTTCATCATTATCATCATAACAGGGGGTCAATAATGATCTGCAAAAAAGGAAGCATTGATTAAAATTTGACTGACAAGGAAATGAATCCCAAAGTGAAATGCTTTGTATGTAATTACCACAGAAAGCATTAAGGATTTCTACTTAAGTTTCTTAACTTTATACTGATCAACTAAGTATCACAGAGATTTTGATATAGCAAAAATAAGTGCACACTCAAATAAATCGACTGTTTTATAATGTCCTAACAAAAAATGTTACGTTTGTTTCTGAACAAATATTAAATATGATGAACAGAAAATTCACTCACTGTTTTTCATACGTATTTCACTTATTCAGAGGCGTGTTTCCAATGTCTTTTTAACAGTACTTATGTGTAATGAGGGTCACTTTTTTGCATCATTAACATTATGTTTTAAGGCTTATTGTAAACTTGATAAGTGTGAATGATGTGATCTTAATCTTCTTCTGGGTTATGATCAAAAAGCTATTCAACCTAGGTTTGGGAAGTGCTCAGTCGATAAAGCTATGTTGTTTATATTCGCAGAAGTATAGAGCAAGATTGAAAAATGCAATTTTTTAAAGTAAGTTAAGCAGTGCAGGTTTTGTATTGTTTCATTGATTACCTTCGAACAATAAGATGATTATTCTTCCAGGTTTATCTTTCTGTGGATTTATCTTTGATAGTTTTTTGGAACTGAAGAAGTTATGACCTGATTTTTTTCTAGAAAAAGTATCGTTGCTTATAAAGCATATGGGAGCTTTATAATTTAGAAAGTGAAACCCTGTTTACCTACAAATCCAGTATAATTCACTACGTTTTTTTGGATTCATCTATATACTATAGGTGTTTTTGAATTCAGTATTGATTATTTTGGTTTTTGAACATAGGTAGTCATTTGGGCAGTGAGTCACATTAAAAGTGTCACACCCTCAAGTGCGAGTGTAACGTCTTAACCACAGGTGTGATCACTCATTTTTAGATGATTTTTTTCTTTTCTCACTTGGGAGAATTGCTTTATTGAGGGAACTAATCGTTGTCGGTATTTTCTCATATCATTTTGTGTCAGTTTATCATTTCTGATGAGCGTCTGATCATATCAACACCGGCTTAATAAATATGGGTTTTTATGGCTGCTAATAGCACGGATCACCTCCGATACTGTCGGGTAATGTATCATAGTATCAAAAATAGTGATGATGCAGTTCCCTTGGAAGCTCCCTCATCAGATTTTTTGTTCTGCTTTCGTTCCAGAGCATTTTGTAGTTACAGAAGTAGTTTGATTATTGGAGTGTCCACATTTTCATCCTATCTTCTTTCTTTTCAATTTAACTACCAGTTACGATGATGATTGTTGCCAGTAGCATCACTTAGTGTACTCTTTAAAACATTCATCATTGACCCACAAGTGATCATGGATGACTTAATTTATATCATTGCTTATTAGAGTCAAGCCTAAGAAGTATCTATTTGAAAATAATGTTGTTGCTAGTATGCTTTCTTCCAGTTTTTCTATTCCTCACTTACCAGATAGATCTATTAATAGTGTAACTAAGTATTCAACTAATTTAGAGTTTAAGTTTTCTGAAGATATGTAGTGGTTAGAAGTTGTAAGGCATACATATAATATTAATCTGTTTAGAATTATGTGACTGGAAAAATCACCAGGATTGTATTTATCTTTTGCATGAATTAGTGGTCATAAATAGAAACTATGGTATTTCATTGTTTATCTGTTTGATGGTGGCTGGAAGTTGAATTCGGAACACATTTCATCTCATTTTGGACCGAGCAAACATCGTCATAGCAAAACTGCTGATAATATCAAAGCACCTATACAAGGCGCCAATATACTAAGGTAAGCAGTTGCTATCTGTCCGAAATAGTGAACGGTGAGAGACTCAAAGTTTGATGGAAACCTAACTAGTATTTCATACATTAAATTGATCAATTTTCAATCACATGAGCAGCAAGTAATCCGTTAGTTTATTTGGCATCCTAACTTAACATTTTCATGATGAAATAACCTTGAAAAGTAGTCTTGCGTTGCCTACTGGAAAATGTTTGCTAATATGAAATAAGCCATTTGCTGTATTTTGTTGTCTTATTGTGTCATTTTATTAATTCAGAATCCAAAGACTAACGGCTTCTGGGATATAAACCAATAATGTTTGGAATTCGCCACTTAACGATGATTTTGTGTTGTCCACTATCTATATGGAGAAATTCCTGCAGTAACACTGACCCTGGCTACTTTATTCACAGCTCATCTATGATCTATCCTGTTACTGCTTCAACACTAAATTTTAAAGGTATGAGAAGAATAAAAACCATACCACTATATATAATCTAATATGGTGTAATTTACCCTGTTCGCAATATGTGCTCTCTGCTGCGCTACACTAAGTATCACCTATATTTTAAGCCAAACTCTTGGAAAGTGTACTGGTCACCTGGTACTTTGGTGGTTCTCAATATTTACACTTTGAGCACTCGTACAGCATCCAAATAACTGGTAATATTTTCTCGTTTAACTTGATGGACATCTGCAAAACCTCACAAAGACATGAGTTCCTTAGTTATTCCAAAAATTTAGCTGAAGGTACTATCTGTTTTTATATCTTCACTGCTTTGTCTTTCTTATGGTCAAATTTTTATTCCAAGGTGGCATTAGCAGAATAATTTATCGCCTATGCGATCATACTTTCTTGGCATCTAACAATCGGGGAACATAAGCCTACAATTTTTAATTTCACTCTCAATATGTTTTGATAATTATTATTTCACTGAGTTTTTCTCAGTAAGGGCTAGCTTATACTGAGTCGTTAGTTTCAAGAAACAGGTTATTTACAACACTTAAAGTGGTTAACTTGTGACACTTCAATTAGTTATTAAATTTCTGAACATTATCGTAAAATTCGTTATTTGAGTGACTTTTTTCTATGTGGGATTTTCCATTGTAGTGAACAAATATTTCGCTTCTGAGGGTTAACTATCAACGATGTCAACAGATTTATATGTTTTGAATGTCTCTGTATGGGATGTCTACCTATTAAGTTCACTGAATATCAAAAGATTATGGGCTATAGTAAAGTTTGCTAACTATAAACCTTTTGAGCTGTTTGAAGAGCCAAAATATGTTGAAAGGCTTCATGTAAGTGAACATGTTTCATATTTTTTTGACTGTTTTATTGCTTTACTAAATGTAGGCTGCACTGTATTTTGAATACAAATAATTTAAGAGCAAAAGGAAGATATGTACCTAGAAAAGCTCAGGTGAATTTCCACTAATTTGTTACCAACTGATGGGACTCCACGTTTCCTCTTATAATATGCATTGTCTATTCCAACGAAATACCGTTATCTATGCAAAGCACATTTGAACCGTATTATTGACTAATGTTCAGTAATATCTAAGCTTGACGAAACCATTAAGATCTTTTCAACCTACCTTTGGGCATTAAATCTTCACAAAAGTGTTTTTTAGTCGATTTCCCGTCAGTATTCTACTAATACTATATATTCATGGATATACGGAATACAATTTTTACAGATTATCAAATGGAATGGTCAAACTTTTTCTGAAACTCTAACAAATCTTTTTGAAATGCATGAATGTGATTTGAATATCAAGCATATCCAAAACGTTCCATCAGGAGTGGTAGTTCAGTATATCAGTCCTTGTTTCTGCGATAGGAACGTTACTTTAAACTGATGACCTAAACCCACTGGTTTGGGGTATTAATACGTTTTGAAATTAGCTGCTTACAAATTTAAAATGTGGATAGTTGTTCTGTCAAGTCAAACTTTCGCTGTTTGTGTCTTGAAATCTTCTTAATTTCTTCTCTGTCAAACAAAATAGCAACTGAAGATAAGCCGAATGTAGTAACATGACGGACGCTTCCAGATAAATAATTGGAGTTTTCCTTTGTCATTGTGATTATTTTGTTTATTGCGGTGATCTAGTGCAAACATACTAGATGAGTGCTCATTCTTTAATTTTTCTGTCATGTTGTCAAGTCGGTTTAAAAACAGTGAGGATAAAACCAGACAGAGACAAACAAATAGAATCAACGTAGAACTTCCCATACAAGTGCATCGGTTCAAGTTGCCACACTTCACAGGAGTTTACAAAGACGAACTGTTGCACACTATACTCGTCCTTTGATAGATAGTCGAATATTCGCCAGTGGGTGCCAGAGATGATGCAGGTTAGCAATGTCAAACGGGCCTTCTGTATCCGGGCTGAGATTTCATCACCAACCGACCCATTCAAGGAGATGCAACTCCTCAAGTAAGTGAAGTGGCCGACATATTCCAACGCTTCACTCTTTATCACTAAACTGTGAGTAGTTGCAGACCAGTCCTGGAGTATCATCTTACACTTGGCATACTCAGATTTCTACTCAACGCGTCCAGCGTCCTTACCTTACAGGACAATATCGTCTGCATACTGCAAGTCAACCAGATTCCCTCCAGACAGTAGACCAATTCTTGCGAAGTCAGAGATAACTAAGGTTAAGTTTACTAGTGTGTCTATGCTGAAGTTTAATAGAAGCGGTGACAGTGGGCATCCATGGCGGACACCACTGGTTGTCATCAATTCACATGAAAGCTCTCCTTAAGCTCTTAACGGTGCATGAGTTTCGAATAGAGAGCTTTGATTAGCGCTATATACTTGGTGGGTACTCCTTCCTCAACGCCTTACGGTCGTCTCAGTCAATTGCATCTATAGGTCAAGAAATATCCCAAATGTCAGTCGTTGGGCCGTAAATATACTGTTTTCCAGAACGTGTAGGAGGGTAAAAATATGATCAATGCTGCCTCATCCAGCTGATTCTGAAACCTTCCTGTTTTCATCGAGTTCGCTCTTCTCGAGCTCCACTTAGGCGTCGGATAACTATGGATCCTGGGATCTTAGACATGATATTAGTGAAACTAATTCCTGTGTTTGTCACAGGAAGACTTCTCTCTGTTTCTATAGACCGGGATAATCGGAGTAGACCAGTCCGCATGGGACTGCTCTGAGTTGGAGGATCGACATATACGTCCCATTCCGGTTCAAGATGGATGTTGGGCAACTGAGGCGTTGCTGTGGGCCAGTTGAATTGTGCTTCAAAGTGTTCTGCCCAGAGTTCTAGCCCCCTGCCCTGGGACATTTTCAACGTTCCATCCTTTTCGGTCACGGTCTCACTAACCACCGACTTTTTCTTGACGGTATCTTTAAGAAAAAAAATAGTTTCTAAGTGTTACCCACCGTTGATACCTTCTCCACGTCTATTGCTTTCACCATCCACCGCTGCTGGTGATCGACCCGAAGACTTGGTTTATTTATGCTTGAGTTGCTTTCACTCTTTATCTGGGTGTAATCAGTCTTCGTGCACCAATCAGTTCGGATGACGTGACGAAAATTCAATGACGTTTGCTAGCCATCAGGTTTAAGTTACCAGTTGTCTTTACCACGGTCCCTACAGAGGACTTAATATCACGTCAGGTTTCCTCAGATGAGCATTTCTGTCACACTGAGATAAATGCTTAGCTAACCCCCCCCCTAAATACGTACTTGATGTCCAAATCTTCCAATCACTACAGACAAGCTTTACTGTTGGCTGTCTCTGCGGCCAGTAACGCGCAGACATACACGAACCTGTACTAGCACATGATTGGAGTTCAAACAGGTACTTCAGAAAGAGTGACAATCCTCCACGGATCCTCTCTAACGAAGGCTTTTAGTAATATGATCTGCCAGTATCCACCATTGGTTTGATTTAAGTGGGACACCATCTACTGTCGTAGTCAAAAAGTTGCGATATGATAGAAATCTGAGGATAAAACTGTTATTCTGGTTGTGGTAGGATGTGAAAACAGTACCGTAATGATCTAAGTGACTAGAACTTCTCGATGGTACATTCATATTCTAAAATGAAAGTGTAGCAGGTATAATCCCTAAAGACTTAACATAACACCATGTCCGCGAGTTTTCTGCTATGATAAAATTCTGTAGAAAACATGACTGTTCACCAATCACTTGGATTTGATGGGTTAGATGCCGAGTTGTATGTACTCTTAGCTGGAAAATCGTGGATTCAGATGTATTCCCTCGATGAACATGAATTAGGAAAAAGTTCATGTTCTAGATTCTGAAGCTAAGTACTACGAAATGAAATCATGAATGTAGTGGCCGTTCTCATAAAAATTGTACTATCTTGAATATATATTCTTGGGATTTGTATTCTCTACTAATAATTTTTATCAATTTCTGTCCTTCTCAACTATGCAAACTAGGATAACTATGTTTTCTCAGTGAGACGCAGTAGATCTGCTTTATTTCAGTGTGATATAAAACAACTAGCTATCTTTTGTCATCTAATAGTACGCCGCTTTCCTTAGTTTTTGGTGATGAATTCACTGAGAGCGCTTTTGAAGATTCTAACCAAAAGAAGTGCAAAAGTTTGTTGATTATGTACTGTTCCCTTGGAAAGATTTACTTATATGTTCAACAACTCAAGCTTAATTCATCATGTAGATGAAGAATCACAGGTAATATTTTATACTCGTTATGGTGATAGTTTACTGTAAATCTGTAAATTATTTACATCTAGTGACGGTGATGACCAAGCTAGCCATGCTTTAAATGTTTCAGTCTATTTACAGATTTTAATTAACAAGAGAGTTTGCGTTGTTTATAATACCAAACACAGGATCAGGTTAAGTTGTTTTATAGGCTAGGATCCCAGTTAAGAAACTGTTCACAATCAAGTTGGATATCAATAGTACATCAAGGAAATCACTGATACATGCATACAGAGTAAGAGTTCTGAAATTGAGGGAGGCTTGTCCACACAAATAGGTCTCTACAAGAACACTAGTGAGTATTAAACAAATGCTTTATACTCAAAATATCTAGATACAATGACAAAAATCCGTTCTTTTTCAAGCTTGGACTTTTTTTGCTCAATTTTTACAAAGCATAAAGCTGCGTTGACAATACACAGCCTAATGATGAGACATCTAACAGACAAAATGGGAACTCAGCATATTCCCCCATCAATATTTGATGGAACGTTGACAAACTTACGGCTTCTAAAAGTAGCATGTTTATCAGTCATAAAATGTAGTTAATATGGTTACGGAATAATTGTGAATTCCAAGGACTATAGGTGTATTGACCGGAGAAGTCATAGTTATTTATGGTTCATGAGTCCTCATCCCGCTCAACTGAAGTTGACTTTTGATGGAACCGGGCTTTAGAGATTGTATTTGCCTGATTATTGTTTGTCTCTATGTTAGAGTAAGATATTTTAAATCATTAGAATGGTGGGAGTGGACGTTCTTGATGAACACAACCAGAAGTAAACAACTCCTGTGATACCTAACCATGCCCACGGATGTTCAAATACAGTGCCTTCAACAGGGTAGTACATTTACTCAGCACATGTTTCAGTGAGAAACATTGCCATAAAACGTCCGGATGACAGAGTCTAATGCACTCTCAACTTCATTGAAATATAGCTAATCCTGGAAAGTAGTGAATGTACCTATGTTCTGGAACTTGGTGGAGAGTGACGGTCTGGTTGATACACCCACGATCAGTTTTGAAATCTGCCTGGTTTTTGGGTTTTCTTTTCTCAAGCTTCGCTTAGACATCTAAAGAGTATATTCCTTAGGACTTTAGACACCACATATATTAGACTGATTGGCCTGTGGCAAGAGGATTTCTCGCCTTCCTTGAAGACCAAGAAAACAAATGATTGATACTGGTCTGATATCTATACACCAGCTAACGTTTCAGTTAATGTAAGCAATATTCTACCACCACTGTCGTTAAATACATCCGGCACTACCCCATCTGGTCCTGCTGATCTTCCTAATTTTAGGTTAACTCACAGCCTTGAAGAGTCTATCTTAGTATTCCATACTGCCTGGTTTAGCTTTCCCATTTGTACATTGAAAACATCTGCTACGACAAGTGCATATGGACATTAAGCTTTCAGTACAAAGCTAGACAGTTTTCAGCAAAACTCATATTTCACTTCATACTAACTGCAGTTGATGGGTACGTAATCAGAAATTACAAAAGATGGGGGCGAGTCTCAATTTTCGTTTTAGTCCTGACTGCACTATTCAATCAAACAACACACGGTTGACTGTCAACTGGACTTCATTCAAGTAGTGCACTTTCTATCTTAAGATTTTGTGCTAGACCTACACCTGCGAGAACACAAGAACTAGCCGTTCAGTCTCTAGAAAATCGAAGAATCATACTGACTGGGGAGTTTAAATGAACGACTACACTTAAACCTTGTGTATGTGTCTCATAAACATAGAACATGCATTTGGTTCAAGATACCAGTTTGGCTAACGAAGTTTACTGTCCAATTTGATGGATATTGAAGGCTCCGACAAATAGTTTGTAGCGCAGTTTCAGGAGACCAGTGAAATCAGAGCACGAACAAATTAAAGATAACATAGGAATACTGAGTGATTGATATGAGGAAAGATTAGAAGATAAGAATATAAAATGTTGACCACAGGGCCCTAGGGACAGCTGCTTGAAACCACTCAAATAAGGCGTTTATGATAGTTAGGAGCTTCGGATTTGATTATTTTGCATTCAGCTGGAAATCAATACCGTCACACTGAAAGGCCGCAGGGCACGACAGAGTTAGCTGTCTCGAGGACGGCTCCCTTTCCCTTCGAAAAGGAAGACAACGTTAGCATATTAAAGCTGGTCATCCACAGGTAAAACTTCACTGCTGTCACACACACCCTTTCAACCAACAACATGACTTTCACCTTAAATCCCCATTACAGTTTAGTACTTTACACAGTAACGGTAACGACCTTTTGTTCTATTATTATCCAACAGTCCCATCTAATATGCAAGGACATCAGGGAAACATGTTTCCCACCAGCATAGATCATTGGGTCATTGTAATGCGCATGCCGGAACACTACTTCAAAATAGCACCTGTTTGTTGTAAACAGTGTGTACAGGCGTACAATTTTTGTGATGTAAGTTACACTTTATCATAATTATAGACGTGTTGTAAAAACGTGTGTAGTAAGTGACTACGTGGGTATATCTATAAACGTAAACATCACTCGTCAATCAATCATCTCATGAAATAAAATTCTTTTACAGCCAGTCTAGTCTTGACTAAAACGCTGTACTGTCAAATCAACAGACTTGCGATGGTCTTCCAGTCATCTGACTTTACAGGAATTGACGTGGTCACTGGGGACTCCTTGGTAGAATCGGGGAGCTCAGATGACGTAGTCCTGTTAGATTAAGGTTCTGGCAAGATGCAGACTGATAACTGTCCGATGTCCCTTGAGCTTTAAGTTTTGAACTTGGACGTTTCATCACCTCGTTAGGCAAGTTCACCAACATTTACGTCATATAGCTCTGAGAACTCCAAACAATTATCATCTTCATCCTAAGCTAGACATCTCTGCTATCTCAAAAAGATGCAGGGTTTTCTGCACAACTGGGGCAGATATTTGAAAATGTTTGGGATATGTTTCCACCATCCGAATTCCAATTATTGCTCCAGGACTGGTCTTTGCTGGTGCGCTATGGAACAATAAGTGAAACGGTTGAGTCAGTTGAATAACTTGGGAATTTGGATCAACCCCGACATGTCAGTGATCTGCTTGGGTACATAATACTCACTTGGCCTTCATCAACCTAAATCATGGCACCCCAATGATATCTTATTTCTTGTTAAGGGCCGAATGTATTGGACTGGACGCTGTCCTACTATAGGAATGTGAAAAATGGCTATTCGAGGTAGAGGGCATAAAGAGGTTCAAGGTGTAATGCAGATGTCAGGAGTAGAGTTTCGGGCGGAGAAGGAAATTCATATAATGAAGTTGTAAACCTTCATCAACTCAGGTGGCTGAGATAGGTTTTATGCATGTCTAGTCACCATCTACCCTGTTGCACAATGTTAACTGAAGTGGGTTCAGGCTGGAAACGTTTAGAGGCTGACAGACTAAAAAAATGGTATCAGTGCATGAAGTCTTTGACCATTAGTGGGAGCAGTGCAGGGCGATATCGCGTGACAACCGAAATTGGTGGTAGAAGACATTGAGAGATATGTATCAGAATCGGTCTCATTGGTGCAGATGAATCTACACATTATCTTCAATAATCGTCATGCTGAATTTTACTATTGTCTCTTTCCTCTTTGTCCTCTTTGCATGACTTTCGACTACTTTTGATTACCTTATTCCTTATTTGTTTTTCTTTCGTCTTTATTCCTTCTTACTTGATGTGGTTACTTGAGGTCTGGCAACTTGGAGTGTTACGCAGTAATGCTGGGTCTCATGTTGATACCTGCTGTCTGTTCATAAATTTAAATGACATCAGTGGATGAGTGTGAGTTTCTTCCTTGGGTTGGCAAGTGCACCTTGCTGATAACAGTAATAGACACATGCCCATTCAGCGACTTTAGTCATCCATCCAACTGTGCAAATCTGATGTAAAAAGTCAGTAATTTACTGGTTATTGGTTTAGTTAGCAAAAACGATTGTTGATAGAGTTCTTTTTCAGGTTTTTTGTCTTGTTTGGCTATGAAAAGAGTTGATAATATTGTGTATATCCATCCTCCTATCTACAATTTAAATTCAATCGAAGTGGTTAAATTTACAATGACTACCGTATCACGAAGCGTAATTGCCAAACAGCAGCCGATGTCATTCTGTAAGCTTTACTGTTAATTCAATTTCTCCACTGAACAGAGACTACAACCTTTCCCCAAGCTGAAAGATATGATGCTAAGACAGATTATATTTGGTTCTAAACAACGCACAAAATGTCATGGGCTGGAATCATAATTCACAAGGGTTCATCAAAAAGATGCGGATACAGCCTTAGGGAAATCTGAGTTCCCTTGAATTCCAAATCCTTGTTATTCAGCGCTAAAGTTACTCATGTTACTACTTACCTTTGAAGGCCTCGAGGGATTTCTATCGATTCTTGATAACGTGTGTGCTCCGACCTCAGTATTACAGTTAAGATTTCTTTCATTGTGGTGTTAGACTGTACAGGCTTGAATGCACAAAGGAGCACCTATTTCGTGGATGTGGTGCTGTTGGTAACCGACTGAAAAATTACTCACTACATTTTGTTTTTGTTGTTCTTGATAGTTTTCGCTTTTCGAACAAGAAACATTTCTTCTCATTTATCTTGTATATATCTCTATAAAATAAGATTACGGACTCATTTCCTGTACGAAATGTATCTGGTGAAACTATGGGGCATGTTCGCTTGCGTGTTTCCCTGAAATGTGTTCCATCAAACAAACCCAACCAGCCTACGCCGAATGGAAGTGTAAGTTATTTAACCACCTTGTAAATCAATGTACCAACATTAATATTAATAATAAAAATAATAAGACTTAGAAACTAAGCGAACAGAAATTTTTTGGTAGTATGATCAGTGTAAATAGTTTGTTAACTTCGTTTTATTCAATAATTTATTTCTTTTATTGGGGTGCATTCATTCTCCACTAACGTGAACCTATGAAGGTTAAACAAGGGAAGGTATGTTCTTGAAGATTTCTTTTCCTTTTTCAAGATTACTGTTGAGGGAAGAGTTGCAACTGGAGCATGGAAAAACGTATGACTCAATATATACTACTAACCTCGCCTAGGCAACTAGTTCACCATTTACTAGCCGGTCCCAAGCCTGGATAAAGAGGGAAGGTTGGACATAGGGCTAACAACCCTACCCGGAAAACAAATCTAATCTCTAGAGAAACCTCAAAACACAAAGGAAATTTCAAAATAAACTTATTCCTTGCTGGAATCGGGGAGATGAAATGACGACAGTTGGTGAAAGCCTTCGGGAAGCCAGTTGGCCGATGTATCTTCTCTCTCTCGATGAAAGCGAAAGCAAACATGGGGAAATGGAATGTCCGCACCATGTATGAACCTAGCAAGGTTACCCAGATTGCAAAAGAAATGAGAAGATATGGCATAGAAGTGCTAGGAATCTGCGAAAGTAGATCGAATGGAAGTGGACTCTCCAAACTGTCAACTGGACAGTCAACAATCTACTCCGATATTGTCACCCTGACGACAACCACGAACGAGCACACTGAGTTCGCGAGTGGCTTTCATCATGTCCCCTACCAACAACATCGAAGACTCTCTCTCTCTCATTCAGTGGGAATTAATCTCCTCCAGCATCAGGATGATGCCAACAAGATGGATTCAAGTCGAAAGGAAGCAAAGTTACAACCATACAATACTAGGCTACAATAAGCATCTACAAATAATGCAGCAGATGAAGAGAAGAAGGAGGAATTCTGTGGACAACTGCAATCAATACTGGACAAGACTACACCCCAGTTGGCGACATCGAAATCCATTCCAATGCAATGGGTGGGTGGGGGGTGGGGTGTTGTGACATGTTCTAATGCGAAACTGGGAGCGGATAACACAGGAAGAGAACCACTCATGGTATGGGTGGAGAAGCAGTCGGTGAAATGAAGAATGAGAATGGAGAACTGTTTGCAGACTTGTGCACCTTCAATGATTTGATGATTGGAGGCGAGACAGCGTGTACAAACACAAGGATATTGACAAGGTAGCGACATGGATTTGATTTCACCAGATACCAGGCAACACTACACTAAAAATCAGATCGACTTGATCTCAATGTGAAGAGAGTGGAGACGCAGTCAGCCTACTGGACACAGGATTGGATGAAGAAGGGGAGCAGATGTAGGTGGTTCACACCATTCACACCACTATCTAGTGCAAGTAACCTACCTTCAAAATCAAGTTGAAAGCCTTCAAAGTAGTTGGTGATAGGCCACAGTTCAAGTTGAACACTCAGAACAGAAAGTGAATTGAAGGACGAAACTACGAAGGACATGTTCACGTCATTCAGTCATCAGGAAAAAAAGGGAGACATTGAGCAACATCCGTGAAGAATCGTGTGTGGAGGAACTGTGGAACTCTGTGAAAGAGATGGAAGGACACCGGCATAACCGTCTTAGGAAGGAAGAAGAAAGAAGAGAAGGAATGGATTTCGACTGACACATGGAAGCTGATAGGGAGGGAGAGGAAGATGGTGATGGTGAAGGAGAAGATGAACCAGTGCAGTGCAGGGGGGAAGAACGAAAAGAGGAACTGAGTACAACCTACGGAACACCACAGTGGACAAAGAAGTGAAGAAGAGTGCGCGCAAAGACAAAAGACACTTCTACGACACACTGGCAAGTGAAGCAGAACAGGCTGCAGGTAGGAGAGACAGAGACTTGACAACACTACGTAAAACAACCAGGTTACTATCTGAGAGGGAAGAGATCAACGCAGATGAAACCAATGAGAAATAGATAGTGAAGGGAACCTGTTTACCAAGGATAGAGGAGAAACACAGGAAAGAATGGATTGATCACTTCAAAAATGTCTTGAATCGACAACCCCCACCACCACCTGCAACTTGTCTAAAAATACCACGAGCAGCCCAGCCACAGAGTTACCAGTGAACACAAGCGCTCCGACAAAAGCAGAAGTGAAATGCTGAACTCCAGGCCATAAAGTTGTTGAAATCTGGGAAAGCAAGATGTCCAGATGGAATTCCTCCAGAAGCACTGAAAATAGACACAGAGACATTTGCAGCGGACATGCTCATACCACTATTGCAGTAGGTTTGGAAGGAAGGAAGGAAGGTACCTCCCGCGTGTAAGAAGGGCTGCTTGTCAAACTGCCAAAGAAGGGCAACCGTGTAGAAGTATCCCCGAAATGCCTTTTCTTCTATTCAGCCCCATAAGTAGTTGACTGAAGACTTTAACTACTTTGACTTCATACGTATGCTTTATCTCTGCAGGTTTGGCACGCTCTAGTGGGAGTTATCTTCCAATCTGACCCAACTGCAATTATTATTTGAGTAATGAAAGTATGCAGTTCTATTCGCATCCATAATTAACTTATACAACGCACGCAGTACATGATATGAGGTTTGTCTCAACAATACAAGTTTGCCTAAAGGATATAGAATTTTTCTGAGGTATATGTATTGTGTCATAACTACAAATAACCTTTCAGGTGTCACGTTATACGATTTCATTACCCCGACCAATAACTGCTTCATTGTCGTGGTGATCAGGCCTGCTTATGAAAATGACCCAACGAGCTGCGCTAGCTAAGGCACCTGTTCCTTGAGGTCCTACCATGCCAGAAAGGTTTGTTGTATATTATTAAAACAAAAAGCAGTTTCCTTTGTCATGTAAATTGCTACGATATAGTGGAGACCTAAGGGTCAGTTCGTGCTGCTGTTTGGACGGGGTGTGGGAGTGTTAGTGTTTTCTCCTACGATTGATCGGTAGTGACATACTGATGCTGCCTTCCCTGTGCAATGGGATTTTGAAAAAGGCAGCTCCCGAACTAGGACACTCAAACCGTCTTCTGCCCTGCGGTATTTCGATGCTGGTGATACGGGTTTTACTTACCCAGGGTTTGGACAATAAAATCTCAACCAACAATCCTAAAAAGATCATGTGACACCAGCCTTAAGCAGACGTGCCATTGGCTGTGCAGTAACGCAGGTGTATTCCTTTTTCTCTCCCTGGTACCCTTCAGAAACAACTTCCACGGTATGAGCAGCCGGGAAGTGTCAACCGCATGTACGTTGCAGTGGTCTACAAAGCCCCATCAACCATTACCTGCCCTCTTACCTTGATATCTTGTCTTGCCTTCACTTCGTAGTGCCAGTATTAAGCCTCTAAAAACTTAGTCAACCTATCACCCTGCCAACATTGCTATCGATCAAAGTCAGCGAAACAACATCTCTAGTCTCCTAAAACTGCACTGCTAATTTCACTTTGGACTTTCCAATGTACGAATTTGGTGTCAATCAGACAACAAATTTCTCTTCCTAACACTCTGGAATGCTGACTTATAGATGTATGCAGTATTTTTGAGACATTATTATTAGTCCCTTGGGTTCCTAATGGAACATAGAGCTTCAGTAGCATGTCTCCAGTGAACTCTGTTCTCTGAAATCTTTTGAACCTGGCTCCACGACGGCCCACAAGCTCTCATTTCCTCCTCGGACGATCTCCTCCTTGTCACCCTCGGACGTCCAACTCGTCGCTTCCCATGGGATTCCACTCGAGGCCCTGACACGTGATGTCCCCAGTCGGCTTTCTCAGTGTATGCCCAATCCATCTCCACTTCCTTCTGCATATTTGTTGGGTGATAGGTTCTTGGTTGGTGCGCTCCCAGAGTTCCTTGTTGCTTATTCTTTTGGCCATCTGATCTTCAGTAGCGAGCGTAAGCAGTTGTTAGTGAATTGAGACACATATAAAGAACTCATATGTGTTTTTTAACTTGACCTCATCTAGTAAATCTACAGAATTTACTTAACGACTGGATACCTGTCAACAGGCGTCAGTGTACTGTCTAACTGAATGGATCTATAAGTACTAGGTAGGGTCCCACTACTTACAGATGCCTATCCATAATCTCCGTCTATGCGCCCACCGACTGCAGTTTGGATGACGCAAAAACTAATGTTATCCAAAGCTTTGATTTTACATAAAGCAAAACGTTGAGATATTGTCATAACAGCAGGTGACTTTAACCCTCAAGTAGGAAAGCTGAGCTAATCAGAAAGGCACCTTTGAAGTATCTAGGATATCCGTTGCCATCGAATCAACAATGGCTAAGAGTCTTCACAATAATTGTCAGCAGTGGTGGGTGGCGAAAGCAAAACAGATAAAGAAGGCATCAGCATTTGGTATTACCCGGGAATTATCTAGACTTGTTAGAGATACTGGCAAAAATAAGATGATAAAACACTGATAAACTCTCAGGAAGGGCGGAACACTTTGAACCCAGTTCAACTCACCTGCAGCAACACTTTTAGTTGCTCAGAATCCAGCCTGAATGTGAATGGAATACAGGTTTCGATCCTCCTAGAAGTTGAGAAGGTTATTTCGAGCCTGAAATGATGCAAAGCACTAAGACCTGACGGTCATGGGTAATTTTATCCCGCCGCTCTACTCTATTGATCATTCTAGTCTACAAGAAAGGAGAGGAGTCTTCTTGTAGACAATCATAGGGAAATCAGTTTGAATAACAGTGCGTTCCACGCTATGCGACGCCTAGCGGGAGCTCGAGAACATCAGTCAAAAAACGATTTTACTGAGCTTCAGTTTTCTCTTCCCTGATTCGTGTCTGTGAGGCATGGCCATTGACAGCAGATGTTAAGAAACCACAGGTTTTCGGATTCATGAGTCTTTGAAGCATTGTTCACGTATGATGGAGTCAGCATCTGGGCGTTGACAAGGTTAGGCGATGGGTACTAGGCAAGGGATT